AGTGCTTGTGTTTGATCCCGTCGGCTAACGATTTCGGTGAAAGCTGAGACGGACAGCACCTGAGTTAGGAAAGGAGTTGCTGCCGGGCCACCACTAGATACAGTGTTTCAAATGATCCCTTCGCCTGGCCTCCCCGCGCGTGTCATGCCTGGGCGATGCCCCGGGGTGAGATCCGGGGTTAGAAACACCTCGTGCGCGCGCGAGCGCGGGTGGGAGGGACCCGGGTGGGAGGGACCCGGCTCGCGCACGCAGGTTGGGTCTGGGAAGCGGTCCTGGGAACGGTGCTCTCTCAGCTCTGTGCCTCCGGGGCACAGACGCCGGCCTGACCGCTGCCACCTGCGGGAAGGGGACACGCCTCGGTTCGAGCTGCGTTTCTGCCCGCAGGACGGCTGCTATCACGAAGACGTGGGCTACGGCGTCAGCGAGGGCCTCAAGTCCAAGGCGCTGTCTCTGGAGAAGGCGAGGAAGGAGGCGGTGACGGACGGGCTGAAGCGCGCCCTCCGGTGAGCCCGGGCGCTGGGGTCTCCCCGCTTCGTTTCGGCGCTCGTTTCAGAGCAGTTCTGTGTTTTGTGTTTTTTTTTAAAGTTAACATAGTCACGTGATTCAACAGTCTAGGCAGCGTGGACAGACAACGCTCGCTCCTGCCCGTGTCTTCACCTACCCTGTTTTCCCGCTTCGTTTTGTAGTCTTCGCAGTTTGTGCTTGGCTCTTCCCTTCTGGGAGGAAGCGGCAGCATCCCGCGTCCTCTGTGCGGGCGCTGCCCTGGGTGACACGAGCGAGGCCTTTGCGCGGGAGCCCGGGAGCGCCCTCGGCCTGCGGCGCTCGTGAGCGTGTCCGTCCTGCGGGTGGAGCGGAGCTGGCGGGGTCACGTGGCGACGCAGAGCTGGCGGGGGGGGGGGTCACTGGCGGGGTCACGTGGCGACGCAGAGCTGGCGGGGTCACTGGCGGGGTCACGTGGCGACGCAGACGTCTCTGAGGACCGAAGTGAAGCGAACTACCAGAAAACCGCCTGGGTGCGCTGACGCTGGGCGTCGCCGCGTTCGCGGGGCGTCTGGGCGCCCGGGGGAAGGGCTGGGTTGCGGGGCGCTGCGCCCCTTGTGCAGCCGCTCCCATGTGGAAACTGTGGCAGTTCTCGAAGAATAAATCTCCGCTCCGGAAGTCCTGTGCTCCGTGTCAGGGGTAGCGAGTGGCTTCTACAGATGGTTCCTCAGTTTCTCGCGCTCGTCTCCGGGCCGGCGGGGTCCGCGTCTGCCGTTCTCGGAGCCGGAAGGGGCCCGGCCGGTGCCCGGCGGACGTCCGGGGAGCGCGCTCGGCCCGGTTCCCCGCCGCACCGAGAAGCACCGAGAAGCGACGGCGCCGACGCGCCGGGATCCCTGTGCGGCAGTTCCCGACCCTTCCCACTCTCTCTCTCGCCCTCAGGAGTTTCGGGAACGCGCTCGGGAACTGCATCCTGGACAAAGACTACCTGAGGTCACTGAACAAGCTCCCGCGCCAGGTGCGCAGCCGGGGGTGGCGGGTCGCAGGGCGACGGTGCGGCGGAGCCTGCGCGTGGGTCGGGTGTTGGGGGGCGGGGAGAACGAGGACTCGGCTGCTCGGAGGGTCCGGGATCTTTATCCGGATTTCGAACGTCAGAGCGAGCAGGAGCGGGTCCTCTCACGGACGCAGGGATCGCGCCCTGGGACCGCGCGTCACTGTCCCGCACGCAGCCGCGTGGCCCCCAGCACGGCCGACATCTCCTCAGCGCCAGTGGCCTTAAGGGTCAGACGCGTCGCTTCCGTCACTCCTGTCGCGTGATCTGAGCGTTTGCTCTGGAGGACGGGTCGGCTTCCGGGTGTGCTCCCGCCCGGCGGGCGGCAGGTGCCCGTCCTGTGCGCAGGAGGCTCTTTTTCTCCTGGGGCCGCGGGTAGAGTGTGTGTCTGGCGTTTGTCAAAACTCTTCTCTTTAAAAAAAATTGTTTCTTAGTCTGCAGTTTTCTTTTTTCATTGTAAAAGACACATAAAATTCATCTTAACTATCTTCAGCGTGCGGTTGAATAGCGTTGAGATATTCACGTTGTTGTGAAAGCGACACCCGGAACCTTTCATCTCGCAGAGCTGAAACTGCGCCTGTACGACTCGACTCCTCCCCCTCTGCCCACCCGCAGCCGCGCTCCTACTTCCTGTTGCCGTGGATTTGACTCCTCTGGGTAGCTCCGATAGTGGATCGTACAGTTTTTGTCTTTTTGTGACTGGCTTATTTCACCCAGCATTAACGCCCTCAGGATTCACCAGGCGGTGATGTGTGTCAGAATTGCTTCCTTTTTAAGGCTGAATACCGTTCCCTGTGTGTATGTATCACAGTTTGTTTATCCATGTCCTGGTGGACATTTGGGTTATTTCTTTCTTTTGGCTTATGTAAATAATGCTGCCGTGAACATGGGTGTATAAATACCTCTTGGAGACCCTGCTTTCAGTTTTTTGGAATTGAATCCCAGAAGTGGGATTGCCTGGATCATATGGTAGTTCTATTTTTAATTTTTTGAGGAGTCGCTATGCTGATTTCCATAGCAGTTGCACCATTTTATAATCCCACTGACAATGCACAAGAATTCAGATTTCTCCACATCCTTGTTAACATTTGCTGTTTTCTGGTTTTGTTTTTTTTTTTTGAGGCAGAGTCTCACTCTGTTGCCCAGGCTAGAGTGCCGTGGCGTCCACCTAGCTCACAGCAACCTCGAACTCCTGGGCTCAAGCGATCCTCCTGCCTCAGCCTCCCGAGTAGCTGGGACTACAGGCATGCGCCACCATGCCCGGCTAATTTTTTCTAT